GGAGGAGGGGATAGGTGGGAGGAAGAACAGGTTAGGGAGGCAGGGACAAATAAAGTAAATGAGAATCATAGCATTGAGAACAAAACTTAAACAACACAACTTACTCTACTTACCCAAAGTATACCATAAATCTTTCTGTCTCTACCCTGTAGACACAGAGTGGTGGGAGATATGAATTCCCTTTCCATAATTTCAGAAGGTAGGCTAAAAGAGAGGTTATTTTGTCCTTGTGCAACATTACATAACATGCACACTATGAAAATCTTACTTGTTCTGATAAAAAAAATGTTTTTAGAGAACTCACTATTTGCAAATGAACTAGTGTAACCCTATAAAAAATGAGAATGTCAAGGTCAACTCATAACACAATGTCAAGGTGGATCCAAAAATAAGGATTACTAAACACAGCACACAGCAATTGGACAAACTACAGCAGCTACAGAAATTTTATTTCAGGTTTTGTAACAACATATTGTCCTTGTACCTTAAAAATTGATGTAAAGTTCTCTTTGCCTGTGTGCTTGGAACATTGCTTATTCCTTTAAATGCACCATTTTTACATACAGCCAGAAAAGATCAGTGTACAAATGAACCCTTTGCGATATTTAGTGACAGCCGACATTGAATTTAATAGTCTTGCCCATTCTACTTGTGGGTACAAATGAGGTTTTTTGTCCTAAAGAACTGCACTTTTCTGTGGTTTTAAGGGGGATTTTACGTGATGCTGATAATTGAATTGGTTCTCCATCTCAATCAAACTTAATTTAGCATCAGCTACCAATTTTTGCCCACAGAAATGGGCAAAACTTGTAGTGATTTTAAGGAGATCAGCTAGGTGGACCTCACTGAAATATAAGTTTCCTAATTGGAGTTGTTAATCTGGTCCAATCAGGGAGGCCTGACTGGCAGATATAAACAGGAGTGTCAGAGGTTCTGTTCACTCTGAGACCAGGCTCTGAGGAAGCTGGATCAGTGTCAAGGTCTCTCCATGTGTAAATATAGGGTGACTTGGTGTTGGACTCCCAGCCTCTGTGGAGTTATTTCACAATCATTATTGCTCAAAACATACTTTTACAACATATTTAATATCCCATTAACTAGCTCTGACAAAAAAAAATATAAAAGCAAAATACTCCACATAATGGGATTCTAATATCCTAGCTGAAAATTTGGTAAATATATTCAAGAAATGAATATAGCAATGATAATACAATTTTATCCAGAGTCTGGAAACGGCAGAAAAAAACACATTAAGTAGTTATTTTTCTTCCCCAGTTAGAATCCACATAACATTATTTTGATGCAAAAAGTCCGATTTTCTGAATTGCCACTAACATGATATTTGACTGGGCATGCAACAGTTCCAGCACCATCAGGTTGAGGGACAGAGGACTGGTCCAAGGCTAGTACCTTACCCACTTAAATAGGAGGATACAAAAGCAGAGGTAACTAAAGTGAACTGACAAATTAAACTAGTCAACAGAGATGCAAAGATGGATGATTAAGGGCATATTTCTGAACACATAAAATAGATTTATTCCAACATGAAAGAAAAAAATCTATTGGGAGGACACACCATTCATGTTTAACTCAAAGAGTTAAAGATCGTATCAAACTCAAAGAAAAACATATAATTACACAAAGATGACTGGCAGGTTGAAGATTGGATTGAATTTAAAAAAAAGCAAAGAATGGGTCTTTTTCTGATTGGCAGGACGTTCCTCGAGGTTCCAGGCTGGTGCCTCAGCATTTGCAATTTACAGCAATTTAGATGAGGGGAGCAAAGCATGGTAACTAAGTTCACAGTCATACAATCATACAGCACAGAAACAGACCCTTCGGTCCAACTCGTCCATGCCGACCAGATATCCCAACCTGACCTAGTCCCATTTGCCAGCATTTTGCCCACATCCCTCTAAACCCTTCCTATTCATACACCCATCTGGATGCCTTTTAAATATTGTAATTGTACCAGCCTCCACCACTTCCTCAGGCAGCTCGTTCGGCCCTCTGCATGAAAAAGTTACCCCACAGGTCCTTTTTAAATCTTTCCCCCTCACCTTCAAGCTATGCCCTCTAGTCTTGAACTTCCTCATCTGAGAAAATGACCTTGGTTGTTCACCCTACCGATGCCCCTCATGATTTTATAAACTTCTGTAAGGTCACCCTTCAGCCTCCAACACTCCACGGAAAAGAGACTCAGCCTATTCAGCTTCTCCCTATAACTCAAACCTTCCAGTCCTAGCAACATCCTTGTAAATCTTTTCTGTTCCCTCTGAAGTTTAACAATATCCTTCCTACAGAAAGGTGACGAGAAGTGTGTGCAATATTCTGAAAGTGACCTCACCAATGTCTTGTACAGCCGCAACATAATGTCCCAACTCCTACATTCAATGTTCTGACTAATAATGGCAACATCACAAAGACAGGTCGGAAAATATGTTCTGAAGGTGACACAAAGAAGTTGCAGACAGATAGACAAGCTGAATGAGCGGACAAAAATATAGTTGATGGAGTACAATGCGGGAAATGTGAAATCATTCATTTTGGCAGGAAAATTTTCAAAAAAAAAGCAGACTATTATTTAAACAGACAACAACTGAACAATTCCAAGGTGCAGAAGGATCTAGGAATCGAGTGCACGAGTCACAAAAAGTTAGTTAGTTTTTAATGTGCAAGCACAGCATGTGATTAAGGCACCAAGAGAAATTGAACATTCAAGTAAGGATTTAGTTCAGTTATTTAGTTCATTTAGTTCAACACTTCAGTTATACAGGGCAGTTATGAGACTACATCTCAAATACTGCGTATAGTTAAGGTCTCCTTCGTTAAGGAATTAATTAAGTGCAGGCAAGCAGTTTCAGAGAGATTTATTTGATTGAAACCTGGATTGAGCTGGTTGTCTTACGAGGAAAGGTTGAGCAGACTGGTCTTGTTTACACTGGTTTTTTTTTATTTACTCATTGGAAGAGGGCATCGCTGGTTAGGCCAGCATCTATTGCTCATCCCTCATTGCCTAGAGGACAGTTAAGAATCAATCACATTGCTGTGGATCTGGAGCTACATGTAGGCCAGACCTGGTAAGGATAACCAATTTATTTCCCTAAAGGATATTAGTAAATCAGACGGGCTTTTCCCAACAATTGGCAATGGATTCACGGTCATCATTAGATCCTTAATTCCAGATTCTTTATTGAATTCAAGTTCTACTGTCTGCTATGGCAAGATTTGAACCCGGGTTCCCAGGACATTAGCTGGATTAATAGTCTAGCAATAATGCCATTAGGCCTCCGCTACCTCTCCACTCCTCCTCTTCAGAACAGTGAAAGGTAACTTGATTGAAGTGTAAACGATTCTGAATAGTCTTGGCAAAGCAAATGTGAAATGCAGGTTGCCTCTTTTGAAAGAGTCCAGATCTACGGACCATGGTTTAAAAATTAAGGGACACCCTTTTATAACAGAGATGAGGAGAAATATTTGCCTTCAGAGGAACTTCAGAACAGTTTGCCTCAGAAGGTAGTGTCACTGAACATGATGAAAGTGGAGATGGATTGATTCCCTTGCCTGAGGTTATCAGTGGGTAGATTGATATATAGAATTCAAAACACAAACAGATCAAGCCATTGTATAACTGATGGCAGGGTAGGCTCGAGTGCCTGAATAGCTTACTTTTCCTCTTAATTCATAACAAAGACGGAATGGGAGAACAGAAAGCTAGATTGAAATTTAAAAACAAATAAACGGAGTTTCTGTAGATCTTCTCTTTTAAAAAAAGAATAAAGTTAACAAAGTAAGATTTGGCCCAATAAAAATAATGAGCCTGGGGAATGTTAATATCAGGATACAAGGAAATGGCTGATAAATTGAACTGGTTTATTGTATCAGTCTTCATTAGACAGAATGCAAGTAACATCCCAAAATAAAAGCTGTAAATCCAGAAAAGAGAGGGAGAGAGGAACTCAAATGACAATCACCAAGGAAGTGATATTGAACAAATTGACTGGACTGCAGGCTGACAAAGCTCTAGGTCCTGATGGGCATCATTCTATAGTCTTAAAAAAAATGGCTAGTACAATAGTCCAAGTTTTGTTTAATTTTCTAAAATTATCTACATTCAGGAAAGCTACCATTAGTTTGGAAAGTATGTATTATAAAAAGGAAAGAGACAAAAAGCAGGAATCTATAGGCCAATTAGCCTAACATGTCCTAGGGAAATTGTTAGAAGATATTAGTAAAGACAACACAATATGGCAGTTAGAAAAAATTCAAGGCAATCAGGCAGAGTCAACATGGTTTTGTGAAAAGGAAATAATGCTGAATCAATCTATTGGAGTACTATGAGGATGTAATATTCACTATGGATAAAGTGGAACTGATGGATGCATTGTACTTAGTTTTCCACAAAATTTTACACCAAAGTTTATTACAGAACATCAAACTTGTGGTAGGAGGTAACATTTTGGCATGGATAGAAAACTGTCCAACCAACAGAAAACAGAAATCAGGCATAATTGTGCAATTTTCCAACTGGCAAGGTGTTTTGGAGTAGTGTGCCACAGGGATCAGTGCTGGGGCCTCAAACTTTTTATGATTGATAGAAATGACTTGGATGAAGAAATGGAAGATACGGTTGCCAAATTTGCTGATGACACAAGGATAGGTCGGAAAGTAAATTCTAAAGAAGACATGAGGAGGCTACAACTGGATTGAGACAGGTTGAGTGGACAAAAATCTGACAAATGGTGTACAGCGTGGGAAAATGTGATTTGTCCATTTTGGCAGGAAGGCTAAAAAGAAGCATCATACTAATTGTGAAAGACTGTGTAACTCTGGAATACAGAGGAATCTGGGTGCCTTGGGGAATGAATTACAAAAGGTTAGTGTGCAGAGGCAGCAAATAATTAGGGATGCTAATGTGATGTTGTTGTTTAGTGCGAAGGGATTTGAATAGAAAAGTAGGAGGTTAAACTTCAATTATAATTGTAATTAACCGATTAGAATATATCATTGGTGAGACCTCATCTGAGGCACCATGTACATATTGATTTCTTTATTTAAGGAAGAATGTAAATGCATTGGAAGCAGTTCAAAAGTCCTTTACTGGGCCAAAACCTGAAATAGGTGGGTAACATTATAAGGAGAGATT